TGGAGTTTTCCTTAAGGTTGTGTGAAAACTTTTCGTCCGCTTCTATTCTACACTTTTCATGTACTTCCTCAATCAATGTTTTCGCATGAACTTTCTGCAGCTTACATCTTTCTTTCATCTTCGCTTGCATATGCTTATCGTTACTAGAGGCCAAGTAGTCTAACCATGCTTTTTTCGTCTTCTTTACAGCTTCTCTCACTTTATCATTCCACCATGCATCTCTTCTTTTACTACTACCTCTTTTTGTCGTTCCACATACTTCTTCCGCTGCACTTACCATTCCATCCCTAAGGTTCTGCCATGTTCTTTCCACATATTCTTTTCTGCCATCGATGGTGTCAAGCTTTTCGGTTACCCTCGTGTGATATTTGTCCTTAGTATCCGCTTCCTGAAGCTTCCAGCTTCGGATGCGACAGACCGACTGTGGTTCTGTTACTGCCGTCCGGTAGCGTCAACCCGCGAACAAACCCCTAAATCTAGTAATTACTAGATAGTGATCCGTTCCCAGGTCAGCACCCCTGAACACTCGTGTATTCATCACCTGTTTTCGCAGTCGGTCATCCACCAGGAACAAATCTCTCATTCTTCTTCTCTTCTCCTTCTTCTACTTCTCTCATTCTTTCTTTCTCTAGTGTACATATGGATTTTCCTGTGATTAAACACAGTGTTTGTCACAAGAAGACCCATTTCCTTGCATACAGCCAGTATAAGATTGCCAGCATCATTAACTCTTTTATCGCCAAACTTTCCAAGCACCGAATCGTACCCTGGTCGAGCGATACCTACCCCATCCATTCAAATCACCACATACAACAGTTCTTTCGTTTCCCTTAACCAAATCTAGAATTTCTCTTACATTCTCCCAAAACTCCTCTAGCTCAGCCCTGGACGACGAAGCTACCGGCGCATAAACAGCCAAAAGGAATAACTTCGTCAGTCCTAGTTTAAAACGAACCCAGAGAAGTCTTGAGTTCACAACCTTATATTCAGTCATAAGATCAACCAACCGGGACGACAACAGCACCCCCACTCCCTGGCAGGCGTTCTCCGGGACTCCGGACAATATAGCTAACGTCCCGCCAGGGCGCTCTTCAGTACCACCGTCCGTTCCACGTTCCGTTTGCTCTCCGACATACACACGACATCTAATTCTCTTTCTTTCATTAATTCGATCAACTCATTCGTCTTATCCCCATGCCCCCTCTAACATTCCACGTGCCAACTCTGCACTCCGTCCTCCACCTTCCGCCGTGTCGGGCTGTGCGTGACGGGTGGCGGTCCCCATCGCCGCTTTGCGCGCTGCATTCCACACCAACGGGGACGAGCTGGTGTGCGTCGCCTTGGGGGGACGCCCTAACCCTCGTTTGCATGGGTGCGCAGCTGTGTAGAATTGCAGCCCTGAAAAGGGCTGGCAGGGGTCGCGACGAGCACGCTTCTACAATGACCAAATGAATATTTATAAGTTTTATATTGGGTTTTAATAGTATAATGGACGGAAGATATCACGTATAATTTTGTACAGGAGTATTTAGAACACGAATGTTTATATAATACTAGAAGTTCAAATTGTAAAATTAAACCTGCTCGAGATGTTGCACTCATGAAAATTCTTTAAAACTTCTTTAACAACAACCATTAATACTTCTCTGACTGGATCATTTAATTCTTGACGTAATCCTAGAACCATCTTAAACGAAAACCAGAAAAATTCTGTAGTCTTGAAACGTCATACTCCCACGAACTCTATGAACTAATGTCCTTAACTAAACTCGCCACGAAGATATTGTTTGAACGCCACTGCCCACTTAACCGTTTAATGTCAACTGTCCTGTAACTAAACTCGCTACTACACTTGTAAAAGTGTAAATCGGTCTTTAAAAAGTGTCCATAAAAACCTTTAAATAAGGGTGGCGCCATTATAGCTACGGGGTAAATTTTAAAGAACGCACCGAAAAATATTAGTGGGATAGACGACTTTTTCGAGGTTATATTTACTAAATAAAATTATAAATAAATTATATAATTAGCTGTGTAGAATTGCAGCCCTGAAAAGGGCTGGCAGGGGTCGCGACGAGCACGGTTTTACAATGACCCCCATTTATTTATTTTCGAAGTTTTATTTTAAACTATTCATCTAGGTTTAATTTGGCAACCGCATCAACCACCACTATCGTCAACTGCTTCGTCCAGTTCTCTGCATCAGCAATACGAAATGGAGATCACTTCCTTGGCTAAAGTCTATAATAAAAAATATCATATAATAGATACGCTTAGCAGGTGGCAGGCCAGATGCTCGATAACCATTCTAATAGCCGTATTAAGTTATCTATATATTACTTATATTCTAAAATTAGGACAATCAAACGATAAGAACTAGTCTACTTATAAATTCTGTATGGTATGTGAGTAAAAGTTTATTTATTTATGTATACTTGTGTGTGTGTGTGTGTGTGTGTGTGTGTGTGTGTGTGTGTGTGTGTGTGTGTGTTATGTGTGTGTATGTGTTTGTGTCTGTGCTTGCGTAAGTTAAAATGAGTGTGTCTGATTAGAGTGTCTTCTGAATCTGAACAAATCAACAAAAGTTTTTTACAGTTATGATATGTTTTATCATATATATACAATATGTAACAAAAACCCTGTGGTTCCCGTTAAGTGCGTTATCAGAATCAGTATTTAAACGTATAGAAATAACTTTACTTCAGAAAACTCGACATAAAAATAATCAAATTAAATTTTAATTAAATAATATTTGTAAATTTTATATGGATTGATTACCTCTGCCTGGAATTATCGACATCGGGCGGACATCAAAGACGGGGCGCGCGCGCGCGCGTTTTACCTACACTAACTGCACACTGAGGTCGTGACCTCGTCACATCACAGCTGTTATAGTCAAACACTAATTTATCACTATGTCTACTTGACGACCACGAAGATGTTGTTCAATATGTCCACCTTGTACCTCTATACATTTGTGACACCGACTTATAATGTCTGAACGCACGCGTTGCATAACAGACATTTCGGACTTTATTTTTTCAAAGGCTGCGTCTATACGCATACGCATTTCTGCCTCGGTATCGCATGTTTTTTGGAATACAGTCTGCTTAATCGTACCCCAGAGATAAAAATCTAAAGGTGTGAGATCAGGTGATCGTGCCGACCAGTTGACCGGTCCACCGCGGCCAATCCATCTTTCACCGAACTCAGTATCCAAAAAACTTCTTACACAACGGGAGAAATGCGGTGGAGCACCATCGTGTTGAAACCACATGCGACGAACGAGGTCTAAATTTATTTCGTCAAGTTCATTGCTTAGTTCTTCTCGCAAAAAACGTCCGTAGTTTTCACCGCTTATTGTGTGGTCTAGGAAATACGGACCAATAATTTTGTCACCTATAATTCCCGCCCACACATTGATTTTCCATCGGTGTTGAAAGTGGCTTGGTTTGTACGAATGCGGATTTGTCGTTGACCATACGTGTTCATTATGAGCATTAAATACACCTGTTCTTACAAAAGAGCATTCAACCGTAAAAAGTACGCGGTTCAAAAACTCAGAATCTCCTTCAACCTTATCAAGTAATCATCAACAGTAATCCATTCTCGGTTCGTAGTCGTTAGGAAGAAGACACTGAACTCGACGATAATAATATGGGGGCTGGCTATCATCTTTGAGGGCTCTCCAAACGCGCATATAGTTCACACCTAGTTCACGTGCCACCGAGCGCGTGCTCCGCGTCGCATCTTCCTCAAACATGTCGAGAATGTGCTCCTCGATGTCGTCGTCGTACATCCTCGGTCTTCCTGAATCTGTACGTTGTTGATCACGGCTGTGCACACTGCCAGTATTGTACATACGAATGTGAAGTCGTTGGAACGTCATTGCCGACGGCAATTGTATATTTCGTGGAGTAGCAAAGCACTCCCCGTAAAGTCTCCGTGCTGCTGCATAATTGCAGTTACATTTCCCGAGACACATCAACATACTAAAATATTCTTCGTTTGAGTAAGACATCGCACACAAGTCACTCACGGCGGATCCTGTTACCTCGCGCAAGGCCCTCATGTGCCCACGAAATAAACACCTTACGCTCGCTCGATCGTGGCCCACATGAGGGCGACAAGTACTACCCTTTGAAAAAGAATTTTTTTAATTAAAAAAAAACCAAAAACAACATGTAATGTATAATAGAAGCAAAGACAAAGATACGCTCTATGACTTGATATCTTTGCCTGGCAATGTTACTAAGAAAAAACTAGAAATAAATTACTCTTTTCTTTTCCGGCGTTCCACGCGTCATATTGTTGCGTCTTTGTCGTCAATTTTTAATTTATTTCTGGAATTAAAACGTAAGTATTATACTTTTTTGTATTCCTTGTAATGTAACAAACCCGTAGATATATAATTTGTGGCATAAAAGTGAAAAATAAACGCTAAAAATATTTCGAAATCTACATGATGTAGAAAAGTACAGACAAAGTAGTAAATATAAATGTCTATATTTACGGATAAATCTAAGTGAAAACGGTAAAATTCTAATGAAATTACGAGATAATTTCGTACTCTTCAAGATTTTGTTCATTTTTCCTATCACATTGCTATCATAACCTACAAAATTGTTCATAAAACGGCCCAAAACCTGTATAACAATTCAAATATTTCGCCATATTTTTACATATTTGCAGTGATTGCAAGAATTTTATCGATCAGGCTATCGATACAGATATATTTATATGGTGGTAATATCATAGGAAGTATTTATCAGTTTTTTTTTTCATTTTTCAAATCAATCAAATTCAATATGTATATAGCAATTTCTGTTGATATAAAATAATATAATATGACCTATTGTCTATATACTATCCCTACAGAATGTATATTATCCATATCATATCATATATATTACAATATAATATGATATTATATATGATAGGGATAATCATTACATAGTAGAGTAAATTTGTTGGTATGTAACAATTATTATTTTCGTTTTCAGCATGTGGAACCCTGGAAATAAGCCAGTTCCCCAGGAGTTCATCGATGTCCTTCTCGACGAAGAAGAACTGGATATCGATGAAGACCATGGGGAACTGGTAGAAGAATATGATGCAGAGGAGATACTTGTAAGTAATATTATGTATAACATCAGTCATATAGATAAATAGAAACATTCGGATAAAAACATGTTCATTTTTCAACAGAACATGCCGGTGTGCATTGCGGAACCCGATGGGTCTCTCTTCTACATACCAGAAGAAGTGCATGTACTTGTAAGTAATATTTATATATAACATCAGTCATGTAACGTTTCTATTTTAATTTTTCTTAATTTTATTATGATTGAGCGTTGAAAAATTCAAACAACTTCAAATTTTCACACTCATAGTGTTAGCTATTTCCTATTGAACTAATAAAACATTTATTAGGAATAATGTATATGGCAAAACAATGTTTCAGCTAGTATTTATTTGTGTTTGTATATATATAAATGTTTTCAGCACAATAAAACCGTGTTCATTTTTCAACAGAATATTCCTGTGGATACGGAGAGAGCCGGTGGGTCTCCGCAATGCCCAACAGTAGAGATGTCTGGAGAAGTACATGTACTTGTAAGTAATATTTATATATAACAGCAGTCATGTAATTTTTATATTTTATTTTTTTTAATTTTCAATGTTTCAGCTAGTATTTATTTGTGTTTATATATACATATATATATATATATATATATATATATATATATATATATATTTGCAGCACAATAAAACCGTGTTCATTTTTCAACAGGATGTGCCTGCTCCAGAGCCTGCTCCAGAGGTGCCTGGAGAAGTGCATGTACTTGTAAGTAATATTTATATATAACATCAGTCATGTAATTTTTATATTTTAATTTTTTTTAATTTTCAATGTTTCAGCTAGTATTTATTTGTGTTTATATATACACACATATATATATATATATATATATATATATATATATATATATATATATATTTTGCAGCACAATAAAACCGTGTTCATTTTTCAACAGGATGTGCCTGCTCCAGAGCCTGCTCCAGAGGTGCCTGGAGAAGTGCATGTACTTGTAAGTAATATTTATATATAACATCAGTCATGTAATTTTTATATTTTATTTTTTTTTAATTTTCAATGTTTCAGCTAGTATTTATTTGTGTTTATATATACACATATATATATATATATATATATATATATATATATATTTGCAGCACAATAAAACCGTGTTCATTTTTCAACAGGATGTGCCTGCTCCAGAGCCTGCTCCAGAGGTGCCTGGAGAAGTGCATGTACTTGTAAGTAATATTTATATATAACATCAGTCATGTAATTTTTATATTTTAATTTTTTTTTAATTTTCAATGTTTCAGCTAGTATTTATTTGTGTTTATATATACACATATATATATATATATATATATATATATATATATATATATATATATATATATATATATTTGCAGCACAATAAAACCGTGTTCATTTTTCAACAGGATGTGCCTGCTCCAGAGCCTGCTCCAGAGATGCCTGGAGAAGTGCATGTACTTGTAAGTAATATTTATATATAACATCAGTCATGTAATTTTTATATTTTATTTTTTTTAATTTTCAATGTTTCAGCTAGTATTTATTTGTGTTTATATATACATATATATATATATATATATATATATATATATATATATATATATATATATATATTATTTGCAGCACAATAAAACCGTGTTCATTTTTCAACAGGATGTGCCTGCTCCAGAGCCTGCTCCAGAGGTGCCTGGAGAAGTGCATGTACTTGTAAGTAATATTTATATATAACATCAGTCATGTAATTTTTATATTTTATTTTTTTTTAATTTTCAATGTTTCAGCTAGTATTCATTTGTGTTTATATATACACATATATATATATATATATATATATATATATATATATTTGCAGCACAATAAAACCGTGTTCATTTTTCAACAGGATGTGCCTGCTCCAGAGCCTGCTCCAGAGGTGCCTGGAGAAGTGCATGTACTTGTAAGTAATATTTATATATAACATCGGTCATGTAATTTTTATATTTTATTTTTTTAATTTTCAATGTTTCAGCTAGTATTTATTTGTGTTTATATATACATATATATATATATATATATATATATATATATATATATATTTGCAGCACAATAAAACCGTGTTCATTTTTCAACAGAATGTGCCTGCTCCAGAGTCTGCTCCAGGCCCCGTACCCCGCTTCAGGGTGGAAGTGATGGACCCGGTTGCGGCACGTCAACGTCGAGGGACCGCATCCGTGCGCGGGCGTGGTCGCGGACGTGGCCGTGGCCGAAGCGAGGGTTGGATGCGTGGAGCAGCTCTGGAGCATATTTTTTTGGAAGACACGGATTTGCCCTTGGATATTCAGGGGCAAATCCGTGATTATTTAATTAGGAGGGAGCGGAATGAAAGGAGAAGAATACCTGCAAATGTGGAAGAAGAGAATGAGAGCGAGGAATGGAATGAGAATGAAAGATTTGTGTGGCGAGGGATGAACGAGTGGAATGGCAGGCAATGCGAATTTGTTCCAGAAACGACTGGGCCTACCGTCTCGATTCGAGATCCTTATGAGGCCATGCATGCCATCTGGACAGATGACATCATGGCCCATATTGTTGAGAAATCGAACCGGTATGCAGAGTCGGTTCTGGCACAGCAGCGTCCAAGGTTCATGAGAGATTGGTTTGAAACCAATTTACATGAAATTTGGACGCTATTCGCATTCTGGATTATGCTTGGCATTATTAGAATGCCAAGCATTAAATCTTGTTTTACGAGGAACCCTCTACTGAAGACCGACGTATTTCGCTCCCTCTTTTCAGAGTCCCGCTACTGGAACCTTAATGCGGCATTTCATTTGGCCGATGGGACTGACCCAAATAATCCGCTGCACCCAATGGGCCCCATTCTCGACCACCTGAATGCCAAGTTCCAGGAGTTATACCAGCTGGACCGGAATATATGTATTGATGAATCGCTAACTCTTTGGAAAGGGCCAGTTAGCTTTCAGCAATACATAAAGACCAAGGCGGCCCGGTTTGGTATAAAAACCTACGAACTGTGCGAGTCGGCCACAGGATACCTTTGGTCGTTTTTTGTGTATGCGGGCCGCACGACAGGGACGGGGTTACCATCCAGCGTGTCCACAGTGTTGAGGCTGATTCAACCTCTCCTCAACCTGGGGCACACGCTATTTATGGACAACTGGTTTAATTCCCCCTCCCTGGCGCGTTGGCTAAAACGACGCAACACAGACTGCGTCGGTACCCTGCGGCCGACTCCCAAAGGGGTTCCAGAAGCTATAAAACGTGCACCCTTACAGGAAGGGCAATTTATTGCCCGTGCTTCCGACGACGTCATGGTTGTTGCGCTACAAGATCGCAAGCGAGTGACTTGTATCTCAACATACCATGGCGTCTCGCAAGAGTTAGTTCCTGGACGTCCGGGCCACCCTGCAGAGTACAAGCTTAATATAATAAAAGATTATAATCGGGCCATGGGGGGAGTAGACCGCCTCGACTCTATGCTGGAGGCCTATCTAGTCGAGCGGAAACAGTGTTTAAAATGGAACCGGAAACTTTTCAAACGCCTTTTGAATATTTCTATTCAAAACGCAAGGGTCATTGTTGAGAAATCAACCAATACTAAACTCAATGCCCTAGCGTTTCGGTTGGCGTTGGTGGATAGCATTATAAAGCGCCACCTTCCTTTAGTTCCTCGCCCAGTTATTGATCAGCGCAGACCCTCTGTCTTTCCAATAGGGAGGCTAACAGAGCGACATTTCATACGCCGCATACTCGTCACCGATGAAATGCGGAGTACGGGGCGGCACCGCACGACTATCGGCCGACGCAATTGCGTGTGGTGCCAGCACAAAGAACACAAAAGGTCGAAGACGGTGTATGAGTGTGAGGAATGTGAACTGCCGCTCTGTCTATCAAAGTGCTTCCGCGAATTTCATACTCAGTAAATGTATTTACCGAGTATGAAATTGGATATTGTAATGACAGGGTTACAAACGAGCAAACAGTCCACATGATGGTAAGTGGTTGCTGTGGTTTATAGACCCGTGAGGAATGCCTCGGTTCCAGTAAAAAGGGTCAAAGGGTCTCCGGTTCCTTTAGACAAACGAGCACTCAGTCCACCTGATGGTAAGTGGTTGCTTTGTCCCATAAACATCTACATCTATCCCCTCGTGACCTGTGAGTACTAAGATGGAATGCCTCGTTTCCAGTAAAAAGGGTCTCCGGTCTCCTCTTCCTCAGCAGTATAAAGCTTGTATTCTGTGAGAGCGTGGTACTTCCCCGGTCGAGCCGACCCATTCGTGCTACAATTTTTTTTTTATATAGGCAAGGGTGACAAACGAGCATACAGTCCACCTGATGGTAAGTGGTTGCAGCGGCCCTTAGACATCTACATCTTTCCCAACCTGACCTGTGAGGACTAAGATGGAATGCCTCGTTTCCAGTAAAAATGGTCTCCGGTCTCTCCTCCACCTAGTCTTTTTTTTTTTAGGTAAGGGTGACAAACGCGCACTCAGTCCACCTGATGGTAAGTGTTCGAGCACACAGTTCACCTGATGGTAAATGGTTGCACTGGCCCTAAGACATCTACATCTTTCCCAACCTGACCTGTGAGGACTAAGATGGAATGCCTCGTTTCCAGTATAAAGAGTCTCCGGTCTCCTGTCCTCGTCCTCAGTAGCGGGTTCAAGAAGGGTGTGAATGGCTATGAATGTTGACTGAAAGAATGTTTTATTTGAAAAAAAAAATTGTACAATGTGGTGATCGCCACCATGCTGGTTCTATAAAAAGTCATTCAAAAATTGTAAAAATATAAATTTATTGTAAATTCAATATAAATCATTACAAAAAGTCAAACAGGTGAATTTGATTATTGCCTATTACATTGCAAAAAAAATATCGATATATATACCAGCGTCGCCACATCACTATTTGCACATGTCTTCAAATTTATTTTATTTGTTGTTATTTGTGTTTTGTGCATTGAATTATATATGTTTATTGCAAATAATAATACAAATGAGATATTCAAAACATATTTCATTTGTGTCGAAACATATTTGAGTGTGTTATATGTGGATTTATGGTGACAAAGTTCCGTTTTCGTGGATGAGTAAGAAATGTGTTATTTTTCCATTTTTATTTATTTTTACTGTAAAATGTAAATAAAAAATAATTATATTACATATTTCAAATAATTTGGTGTTGTATTTATTTCAAATTCACACAAAATATAAGAGAAATAGTGTTTGAAAGTTCATATGAAAAATTGAATTTCGGAAAACAAGGGTTATGTTTGACTCGTATTTATTTGTTTTTTTTGTATGGGTTACGAATAAAAACACATAAAAACATAAAATAATATATATTTCCAAACATTTTCATATAGATTTCTCAAAAAACAAACGTGTAGAAATTATTTTAATAATATTTTCGTGACTAAAAGTGAAGTATCTACTAGTACTATGTGTTTGAAGGGTAATTTATGAATTTTATTACAATATCTAACATCTAAAAATTATTTTATTCGATACTTTATACATTCAAGAAGAATTCCTGTAAGTTTTATCCATAAATATTGTCTCAAAGTGAAAATATTGCAAAATTTGTAAGTTAGGGAAAATTTTCCGATTTCCGCCATTTTAAGGTCGCGAGCGAACGGGAGTGTCAATATTACGTGGCCTCGCGAGCTAACGGGTTTCGCAATATAAAACACAACCGTCAATATCAGTGCTAACGCGCTACTGGTGCTTGACGCTTGTTTGTTTGCATAGACGTGGCAAAGCTATTGTACTCTATAACATAATGTTGATATTTTCTAAATCGATAAAAATTTCGTGATTTTTTTATGTTATTTTTTTAATAATAGTTATTATTTATTTATTTATTTCAGACAGCGTCCGTAAGTGTTATTAAGAAATTAAATTATAGCTGGGATTAATAAAAATACATTAAAACACTTTTATAACAAGAAACATTTAAAAATTGTGTTATAAATCCACA